CTGAGCCGAGCACTGGAGCTGGCAGGACAGAAGGTAGATCACCTGGTCGTGATGGAGAAAGACCCGGAATGCCGAAGGCTAAACAGAACAAGGTGGCCTGGGTGTGACGTGATAGCTGACATCACGAGAGTGACAAAGGGAGAGATCGAAAAGTACATGAGGAGTGTACCAGGGCTCACCGGAGTGATCGCGGGAGGAGGCTCCCCGTACCAAGGTCTTTCAAAGTTGAACGTGGACCGGACCCCAGGTCCCAGTTGTGCTACAAGTAAGGACCTGGCGAGAGAGATGAGGGTATGGTCGGTTTTGATGATAGAAAATGTAGTTGGAGATGAGGAAGACATCAGAGAGATGAGCCAACAGCTGGGCTGCCGTCCGGTGCATGTTTGCTCGGGGTGCTTATCGTGGGTTCGTCGACCAAGACTATCCTGGAGCAATGTGGCTTTGGATGACCGTGCCAGCTATCAGCTCAACCATCATGAGCGCTATGATGCGCTAGAGTTCAATGAGGAGCTGGAACCTTTGAGGTCAGAGTGTGATGAAGGGTGGATTTGGGCCTGCAGCTGAAGTCAACAAGAATCTTCGGTTGCCGGCTTTCACAAGAGCCATTCCACGGAGAAATCCGCCCAAAGAGCCAGTTGGGCTGCAGTCCTGCGATAGGAGCAGGATAGACAGATGGAAGGAAGACCAGATGAAGTTTCCTCCATACACTTACCGACCAGAGTTCCTTATCCGTCATGCCAAGGGAGAAGAGGTGAAGCGTGTGGCATCAGCAACGGAAAGAGAAAGGTTGCTGGGGTACCTCACGGGGTACACCTTGGGTCTGTATCGCAAGCAAGCAGAGACGGAGGATGAGAGGAGGAAGCAGACGGTCGCACGAGAGGCGGCTATCGGGAATAGCTTCCACACCGTGGTTGTGGCTTGCTTGATGGATCTGTCTGTGGTTGTGGAAGAAGCAAGCCCGAACTGACCCAAAAGGGGCCAGAGCCATAGTTGAGAGATGGCATGAGGAGATGGCTCGGAGGAGTTTTGACGACATTGGAGAAAAGGATGATGCCACGACTCATGTCAGCGTGAGTGAGAGAGACAAGGAGGAGGAAGAAGCTTTGGTCCAGCTGGTCCGGAACCCAAGGCGCGAACAGTGGCTGCGATTGGGAGGACACAGTGTTGGGCAAGGATCGACTGAATGTGAGATTGATTCGCCAATACCTTCGAAGGATGGAATTTCGTGGGAGTGATGTACGTCTTGACCTGCAGGTAGTATACAGGCCGGATGCTGTGGCCCGTACGACAGTAGATTCATGCAGATGAGTTTGGAAGACCGCCCAATCCTACAAGTGGCGCCGAGACGAGCGCATCAATCTCCTGGAGTTGAGGGCGTTTTTGAGGAGCCTAGAGTGGCGGGCCCGGTCAGCTTCATTTCATTCTTGTAGGTCTGTCCGATTCCCAGATCTGCTTAGCTGTACTGACAAAAGGTCGAAGCAGCTCAAGAACAATCAATCGCATTTAGCGCAAGATCTAAGCCTTGTGTGTCGCTTTGAACCTTTTTCCTTTGTGGGCTTGGATTGCATCCCGATTGAACCCAGCGGATGGTCCAAGCAGGCGTTTTGAGAAGGATGCCAAGAAAGGAGATTAAGAGAAGGGCCACAAAGGAAGACCGCAAGGCTGAGAGGCAAAGAGTGGGAAAGTTGTCGGAGCAAAGAGTTTCACAAGCGACCGCAGAACGATATGCAGTTGCTTTGCATGGCCGGAGTACCTTGGTGGGAAGCACAGTGGTAGAGCTGCTGAATCGAGCAGATCTTGAATCAGTGCTTTGCCAAGACATAGAGTTCCTGTGGGAGGAAGGAGATCCCAAGACGATGGCAAATTATGTGATGGCCGCAGTTCAGTATCGAAGGCCAGAGCTCAGAGGAAATTTGAAAGGAGCATGGCAGCTGGTTTCTTTGGAACAAGCTGGAACAACCCTTGCGGGCTACGCCACTTAGTCCCGAATTGGTGTTGGCATTTGCCGGAACACGTTGGGAATGGCATTGGCCTCCCTCGCCTAGCTCAGCTGACCATGGTGGCCTTTTTGCGGCCTCCTCCGCACAGGAGAGATGTTTCAGCTTCACAGCAAGGATGTGATTTTACCCCGCAAAGACGGACAGTCAGCGATCCTTTTTCTGCATGACACAAAGACATCACAACGAAACTTTTTGACGAGTGAGAAAGTCCTCATCACCGAGAAAAGCGGAATTGCTTGCCTGCGAGCTCTTTGTCAGAGACGCAGGCCTGATAAAAACTTGGTGGATTTTTCCCCTGCAGCCTTCCGCTCACTTTAGAACGAGGTGGTACACCACCTCGGGCTGGAAAGCTTCAACTATCTTCCCTACAGTTTGAGACGGGGAGGAGCCACAGTAGCCTATGTTCAGGGCATGCAATTCGATCAGCTTTTGGCCAAAGGCCGCTGGGAACATATTGCTACTGCTCATATTTACCTGGATCAAGCCCTCCAAGAATACACTGCCCTTGTCCTACCACAGGCCGTGACTCGTAAGGTTCGCGCAGCAAGCCAGAGGTTTGCTGCCGAGCTGGGACGCGTGGAGGAGGGGGCAAGGAGGACTTGATCGGGTAGAGGGCATAGGGTTTGCCTTTTCATCA